TTTTTTTTTTTTTTGCTTTTTTTTTTTGTGCTTTTCTTTTGGCGAGGGGGCGGGTGCGGGGGGTGTTAAGCATCGGGCAGGCAGTTCCTACTACCAGGGTTGGTATGAGCAGCCCCTGGTAGTAGCGCCTGTGCTGACGGCTCCTATCTATCGTCGGGGAGCTGCACCTGCTGGAAACCGGGTTGGAACACGTGTTTTCACACTTCATACTCAACCAAACTGATACTCAAACGCAGGACCAAGTGTTTTCACACTTCGTACTCAACCAAACTGATACTCAAACGCAGGACCAAGTGTTTTCACACTTCATACTCAAACTGATACTCGTACTCACTTGCATCAGTGTTTTCACCGTTTCCATTGGATATGTCGCGACCGTCGCCGCTGACACGGCGGCCATAGCTGCTTTCCCATGCCTTGAAAACACCTCTCTCCTCTCTCTGTCACTGTTGTTGCTGCTGCGGATGTTGATTGCCGCCATAGCCAACTTCTCTGTTCAGCTTTCCTCATTCCATCGTCAAGCCGAGGCGAAGTTCATCGTCATGGCGCTCGCTCGGTCAGAGTATGGTCGCGGCCAAGATTATTTCAATTTGACTGAAGTTAGCCGTAATTATGGTCAGATACATCCTCAGAAGCCTAGGTGAGCGTGTGTTGTGAGGATGCGGGAGGGGGGGGGGGGATCGTGGTAATGTTGACCCCAAGGAGGGGACCAGACCAGTCAATTGGCAAAAGATGGTTCGGAGGGGTAAGCAGGATCTGAACCAATCTAGTACGCTGAAGCACATAAATAGCCCGGCCCTTGTATTTTGGAAAATTGTCTATATGCCCCTGAAAGTTTGGTTTATTTGTGGCGTGCCGCTCGGACGTTACTCTGTCATGCCCCTGGGGCCTCTGAACTCTCCTGGAGGCCCCTGTCAGTGAGGGGTGCAACTTTCCAGCATACCCCTGTGCCCTTTGGTACCACTCGCGGCCGTTCCCCTGGCCCTGGGAAGGGTGCTACCGGGGCATACTGGAAATTTGTAACCAGTACTGGTAGGGGCATATCGAACATCGTTCTGGCCCAAACAACACCAGGGGTTTTTTGGAAACTTCATTCTTTGTCAGAGGGGTGCCATAAGGTATGTCGGCCGGCAGAAGGGCACACCACAACTGAATCAAAACGTTCAGGGGCATATCAAAAATTTTAAATTTCCTTTTTTTTTCTTTTTTTTTTTATTTGGAGCATTTCTCGATTTATGCCTGTCATCCTTGCGAAGGAGCCATGCTAATCCTCTCTGTTGACGACAGCCCCGTCATTTTCAAAAGGCAATCAATGATACTGTTATACTGCGGGGACGCAGCCATTCGGGCAGCATGTGTCATGTTCCAGACAGTAAGCTTGTTAAAGGTCTTCTCAAGTGGGGGAAGTCAGCCTTCTGGATTTGGCAGGCTAGGGCCAGAAGTTGTGGTGGCCCTGACGTTGCATATGTTAGACGTTGGCCAGGGGGCCAGGCGATTAGACACTTCCTGTGATACCTAGAACTGCAATCCTCATACTTAGAAGTGCATTCCTCATATCCGGTTGCAATAGCATGTTAATACCACCACGCGACCTTTAACGCGCTGCATCAGACGGGGGTCGGGGAACCAACGACCGGTAATGAAAAATAAAAGGGGTAACTTCAGTAGAGTCACAAAAACGAGTTATAA